CTACATTTTTATGGTCCTTCGAGCCGGATCCTGTGAAGTGATCCGAAACCAGCAAGTGCAAACTTCGGTAAATTGCCAGTGAAGTGACTTCTACAATCTACGTTCAGCGGCAAATATATCCCCGTAGAAAGTAACAGTCCACCGCTACATCATGGCAACAGACGATGCACAACGCCTCAAACATCTCATCAGACGGAGAAGTGGAATAAAATCACACATCACCATGTTCGAGAGATATCTGGGAGGTTACGAACAACAGCCTAACCCCGCGATGCTGAGGAGTAGATTTCAAAGGATGAGAGAAGTCTACTTAACCTTCGAAGAAATTCAGGCGGCGATCGAAGTATTGCAAGAAGACGCTGATCATGAAACTGAGCGCTTCGAAGTAGAAGAGCGATACATCGAAACCAGTGTCACAACGGACAAATGGCTGACCGAATCCCAGCCGCCAACACCCAACGTCGCCGCAGCAGCCAGTTGCTGCACCCCTGCACTGTCATCAACAGGACTGCAGGTAAACTTACCGAAGGCTGATTTACCAAACTTCAGTGGTAAATTCGAAGAATGGCTATCGTTCAAGGACAAATTCACCTCGATGATCGATAGTCAAGATGCCTTCAGTAAGGTGCAAAAGTTCCATTATTTGCGATCAGCTCTGTCGGGTGAAGCTGCGAAGGTCATCGCAGCCATGGAAACGACAGAGCAGAATTATAGCAAGGCTTGGCAACTGCTCCAAGATACCTATGCCAACGAAGGGCTGATTATTGCACGCCACACCGATCTCTTGGTCGAAACGCCGTCAGTGGAACAAGAGACAGCTGCAGGACTCCGCGACTTCGTGAGTCACGTCTTGCAGCATTTGAGATCGCTGACCACACTCAACGTTCCAGTCGAACATTGGGATCATCTCCTAATGTCTATTCTGCTGCCCAAGCTCGCGCAGCAGACCAGGATGGCGTACGACAGCACGCTGAAGGATAAGGAGACGCCAAAGATTAGCGGTCTCATGGAATTCCTCCGCCAACGATCACGGAGGCTGGAGACGACCGCGACCAGTAGGACAAACACCCAAACCAGCAGAGCATCACCAAGGGTATCACCCACGCCGCAGAGAAGACAAACAAAGAGAATTCCCAACATTTCTTCGAGGAAGGATTCTAAAGTCTTCGTCACCACCACGCCATTAAAAAATTGTGCGTTGTGTAAAGACAAGGCGCATACGATACATCGCTGCGAAGAATTCCACGCGCTATCCGTCAGCGAAAGAATCAACGCGGCAAGGAAGGAAAAATTGTGTTTTAAGTGCCTTCGGACTGGACATTCGACCCAAGAGTGTACTTCGTCCCAGTGCAGGATCTGCAACTTGGGACACAACACACTCCTACATCTGCCGAGGAGTGGGAGAAGATCACCGACGCCACCGAAGAAGCAAGGATCGACGACAGCTGCGGCAGTCACCAGCGCAACATGACGCTCGACGCCAGGAAGTCGCGGATGCACTTCCCTTTCAGCTCGCACAGCATCCACCGAGTTGATGACAACAGCAAGGCTAAAGGTATACGACTCCTTAAAGAATTTAGTTTGTTGCAGGGCCCTATTGGATACGTGTTCAACGGCCAATTTCATGTCTGAAAAATTGGCGACCAGACTTCATCTGAAGCAAAGAAGATGCTCCATCCCGATTGGAGCGCTCAACCAGATGACAACATCAAGCAGCCACATCGTGACGACATCGATACGATCTGACATCAACGGATGGGAGAAAAGGCTCGATTTCCTCGTCATCCCGAGCATTTCGGAGATGGAGCCACAGCAGCCCATTAACAGGAATTCTGTCCAGATTCCAGCAAATCTGAAACTTGCTGATCCAGAATTCCATAGGCCCGCACCTATCGACCTTTTGCTTGGGACTGGTCCAACATTGGCCTTGTTCAGCGTCGGACAAATCAAGCTGTCGCCGCCACAAGGGCCGGACCTTATTCTTCAGAAGACACTGTTAGGATGGATTCTTGGAGGTAGCATCCTGTCTCCAACAAGCTGGGACAACGAGAAGTCTTCAACCTCCACGGACATCCACCTCGAAAACGACAGATGTCATCAAACATCTCACTGGTCCAGCGACGCTGAACAGTCTACAACGAGCCGAGACAACAATGCAGCATCAAAGAATTGTCAACTCAGTCGATTGGAATTCGACATGAAACAATTCTGGGAGATCGAAGAGGGACCATCAACCCCTCATCTCTCCTTGGAAGAAAGGGCCTGTGAGAAACACTTTCAGCAACACGTACATCGAGACGTTACTGGAAGATACATAGTTGCCCTTCCATTTAATGAGAACAAAGAGCGCTTAGGATATTCACGCGCCAGAGCTATGAAACGGTTCAACGCACTTCAACGCCGTTTCAAGCAAGATTCTCTCTTCAAGGAACGCTACACAGCAGTCATGCAGGAATATCTGGACCTCGGACACATGTCACTAGTACAAGATCCAACAGATACCGATGGTTTCTTTTTACCTCATCATGCAGTAATCAAGGAAACCAGCATGACGACGAAGCTTCGTGTAGTCTTCGATGGTTCGGCAAAAACCGACTCTGGGATCTCTCTCAACGAAACCCTTATGGTCGGTCCAACCATTCAAGACGATCTGGTGTCGCACATACTACGATTTCGTCTCCACAATTATGTGTTAAGTGGTGACATCGAGAAAATGTATCGACAGTTCTCAGTGCGCGATGAAGATCGAAAATTTCAACGAATCCTTTGGACGGATTCAAGTGGTGAAGTGCA